GACTGAGGGGTCCCGGGTTTGATTCTGGTCAAGGGCGTGTTCCTTGGTTGTGGGCACATCCCTGGTAGGGGGTGGTGTGCAAGAGGCAGATGGATGATTCTCTCTCATAGATGTTTCTAACTCTATCCCTCTCTTCCTCTCTGTAAAACATCAATAAAATATATTTTTTTAAAATTAAAAAAAGATTTCTTACTCCTTAAATATGTTTTTTTTTAAAGCATTGCTTTTAGTTTATCCATATATCATCTGGAAATGAGATAACATACTCATTTTATTTTTCTTTACTTCCTCATGTAAAGTAACTACTCATGTCCCCATTATGAAATGGTAGAGAAGACAAAAGCTACAAAAACAAATGTGATTCTAACTAGAAAACTCAGGTCAATTAATCATTTGACGCCTTCCTTTATTAGATTCCTGCCACCTCTCGGCCCTGAGAAGTTTTCTATGTCAACAGCCTAAGCTATCAAAGAGGAAGAAACCTCCAGAAGAGGAGTGATATAGGCTGTCTGTTCCCTGGGTCTTACAGGGCTGGTACATAGACAGTCAATACCTGTTAAATGAATGAGTTACCTTTATTAAAATTTAAATAAACTATATATCCTTCAGCTAAAGTAAAATGCTCCATTTCATCAACTTTTATAAATAGACCTATCATTCTGCGCAGAGTATGATTTTCTTTTTCTCTCATTCCACTTAAACTCTGAGGGTTATAAGAGGCAGCATAATATAGGTCTGTAATATCAACATTATATTGTAAGAGATATATGATGAGTGGTCTGAACGCATATATTTTTATATTATTTGAAAGTATGAAAGCCTGTTTCTCATTTATTTTCCTGAAGCAGAATAAAAAAAAAATGTTTTTTTGTCCAGGTAATATTAAGTAACACAGACCAATCTTTAGGGTCTAAAGACTACTTTGATTTTACCGAGGTTCCAACTCTTCAGAACAAAGAAAATGTAATTTATTTACCAAAAAGACTAATCAGACATAGGTGAGTTTTCCTTCTAAAATACACAGGATATTATCTTCTGTGCATAAATACAACACTTGAGCTATCTGCCAATCCTGCGTTTAGATCTGCATTACTCACAGGAAGCTCCGAGGATTTAAATGGCTAGGTATGGCCCTATAACATAAACAGAAAATGTAGCATTACCAGTCCACCATGGAAATCATGTTCCTAAAAATGTCCTATCCCCTTGAATTAATATTTGGGCAACCAAATACTTAAAAAAGATGTGCTGGATATCTTAAAATGAGACTGTCGGTTAATTAATTCAGTGATCCCCTGCTACCAGCAGAGTGCTGTACAAACTGTTATTATTCACTGTCCTATAGATCATCTGTTCTTGGTGCTGGTTTGTTCCAGGAAGAGAGACAGCTGCAACACTATATCCCTGTTCAACCTGAGGACCATCTGACTTTAATTGTAACACACAGCTTGATGTGGCTCTGGCTACAAGAAGCCAAAGTATCGTCTGTAATAATCTGGAAAAGCAGAAACCTGCCAACAGAGGGCTGAAAACAGGGACTTGTGCTGTCTGGCTGCCTGACGGGCTGCAGGAAATATGATTAATGAGTAAGGTATAATGATATCAGGAACCCGATTAGCACCACAAAAAGGTCACAGATCAAAGTAGTATGCATTTCATGAGCTACAATCATTGCATAAAATCTGTGGACTTGAAGAGGTAAACCAAAAGGAGGGGATAAAACCTTTACGTGATAACATGCTAACAGATACATAAAATACCATACTGATAATTCAGTCACTTATACAAAGTTAACAGGAAATTATGAAATGAAACAATATGGACTGTGCTGTAGGAAAGCTTTGTTCATCATAGGTGTATAATAAATATTTTTGAATGAATTATTAAATTCTTCCATAAAGACATATATAAGTAAAATCAAGTATTCTTCCTAATTATGGATTAAAATGATCAGAGATGTAAATATTCAACTCTAAACTATATTTGCATTTAATTTGCAGTGATTTTTAAAAATATACTCTGCTAAGAATGTATGCTTATTCAAAACCTAAACTATGAAGACATTCCCAACACTTATAGGAAGAGGAATCACTGGGAGAAATGTGTAAGGACTTAATAGGTTACAACAGCTATGCAATTAGCATTGTAAAATACTATTTTGTAGATAACTTCATAGTCATGTCTAAGTTTAAATCATGGGCAGGCAAAACAAAATCTGACTGGAAAACAATGTGGTATGTTGCCCTTCTTTTTTTTCCTGATGCTTTTGGGAAAGGAGCCTCAAATAGATCTGGTTCTTCTGAGAGTAAAGATGAAAAGTACTGTCAGGAGAATGGCTTACCTCAATCTATACAATTACATTTTTTTAAAAGTCAAAATATTGTTGAAAAGCTTTTTAATACAATTAATTCAATGTCTCTGCCTCTTAGACCTCTTTTAAAGCAAAGTAAACATACTAACAAACTTTTTTGTACTTTAAATGATACTAAATATGGTTATGATTAATAGAGAATTGGCATCCTTGAGACTTACAAGTATAAATCATATTTGAGAAAAAAACATTCCAATAAGGAAATGATATGATTTTCATTATTTTCTTAAAAATTTATTCCAGATTTAAGATGATTATTTATACTTGGCAAATATTACATAAATGTTATTTTATACCTACCTAATGGTAAAAACATGCTTTTAATTGGCGATTCCAAAGGAACCATTGAAAAATGAAAAAGACAAGTCACAGATGGAAGAAAAGTATTTAGAAAAGATATGTTGAATAAAGGGCTTTTCTGGAGAATAAAGATCTCTTAAAATTAAATAATAAAAAGATAAAGAGCTTAATTGAAAAATAGGCAAAAAATGTTCACAGAACATAGGTGAGTAGAAAATAAGTTGGTAAAAAGGTTCAACACCATTAGTCATTTGCGAGTAGAAAATTAAAGTGAGATGTCTTCCAGAATGGCTAAAATAAATAAAACTGACAATACCAAGTCTTGGCAAGGTTATGGAAAACTGGAAATTTACACATTAATGGTGGGAATGCAAAATGGTAAACGTTTTCTTATCCTATGACCCAGCAATTAAGCTCCTAGGAATCAGAGAAATGAAAACAGATGGCCACTTTAAGACATATACAGATATTCAAAATAGCCTCAAACTGGACAAAACACAATGTCTACAAACTGTTAACAGGTAAACAAAATCTATTGTATCTTTACAATAAAATTCTATGCAGCAATACAATAAAATTAACGATCAATATATGCAGCCACATGGATGAATCTCAAAAACATCATGCTAAGGGACAGAAGCCAGGCACAAAAAGACAACATATTGCATGATTCCATTTATATAAAATTTCTAGAAAAAGCAAAATATAGAGACAGAATCAGTGGTTGCCTGGGACAAGGAGTGGGAGCAGAGATAGACTGCAAACAGGTACCAGGAAGTGATGCAAATGTACTAAAGCTGGTCACAAACTGTATAAATTTACTAAAACCAAATGAATTTGTGTACGTTTAAAACAGAGAGTTTTATGGTATGTAAATTATGCCTCAATCAATGTGTTTTTAAAGGACAATCTCTCTCTCCCTCCCTCCCTCCCTCTCCCTCTCTCTCTCTCTCTCTCTCTCTCTCTCTCTCTCTCTCTCTCTCTCTCTCTCTCTCTCTCTCTCTCTCTCACACACACACACACACACACACACACACACAAAACACACCACACAACAAACTGTAAAATGACTATACGTTCTATTGACTTCTATGTGCCTGAGAAACAAAATCACACAACTATAGACAACTGTCACATTTAAAATCTGACTTCTCTTTTATATATTTCAAATTAAGTTTTGTCTTTTGCTGTCATTTTAATAATTTAATGAGAATCTTTAAAACTGCGTGAGATGGGAGTATAATGCAACATGTACCTTAAGACTGTGATAGAAAAAAATTTAAGGAAAAAAAAGACTAATATAATAATATTCGGTACTATTTTCTGAGTGCCTACTATAAGCCAGAGACTATTTTAGATATTTTACAGACACAATTAGAATTTTATAATCATAATTTCAAAATTACAAAAGAGGAAACCAAGGCTCAGAAAGACTAAATTCCCTAAGATCCCATAATTAGCAAAGTGATTTATCCAGGATTAAGAAAACTGGTCTAACTTCAAAGCCTATGTTCTTTCCACTCTCACTGCATAGCTCTTAGTATATATGTATCAAGTGAAATTTCAGAAAGAATGAGATTACAATTAGGATCTGAAAGACAGGATTAAAATATAGTTGTTGGTATAAAAAGTAAGAAATGCCTCCTAAAGAACTAGAATCCAATAATTTTTCTTGTTTAAATGTAATTTAGATATCATCTTTAATATGGAGTATAAAATATTACTTTTAAACACTAAGTTTAAAGCTCCCTGCTACTAAACGTTTATGAAAATTAAAGGCAAAAAGGAAAAGTCATATTACTTTTTTGTAAAACAGCTAACCCGTATGATAGCACATTACAGAGTCCACTAGGGAAGATTCTGATGAATTTTTATAAGCACAATAATTAATATGCTCTTAAGTGTTCCTATTCTAAATATCACATGGAGAGTTTCTTCAAAAGACAGAGATGGGATATAATTTGAATATCATTTCCATTACCAAAATGTGCAATGGCCTCCTAAACTGGAACACAGAATTATGGTCTGCTGGTACAGGATGTCAACATGGGAAAAAGCAGTTTAACTTACAATTTAGGCTTATAATTTTGAATTATCACATACATATAAAAGTAACCTAAATTCTGTATAAGACAATACCTTTCATGTCAATAAAATTTTACCAAGTTTATATGAAGATTCATGAACTATTATGTCACTTTCAGTTATCCTTCATCATCTCCAGTTTTGTCCAGAAGATCAAGGGTTAATGATTATACCAACACATGAAAGATACTTTGAGAAAAGAAAGGCTCATGACAGACAGAGAGGTAAATGATTACTATCTTACCAATCTGTTTATGCGAACAAATTCTTCTGAGGTTTTGGCCCAAGGAGGAAGTTCAACATCAGACACTACTGTCCCATCATCCATCACTCCAAGATTATAATCATTGAAGTTGACAAACATCTCAGGGAGATAATAAAATTCAGGGATCAACTCCTGTTAAAAATAAAAGATAATGTCATATAAATTACAGAATATTGATTAGATATTCATAAAAGGGCCTAATTACTTTCTGCAGTGAAGGAAAACAAAATAAATGTTTTCCTCTTTACATACTACAGCCCTATCACAAAGCTTCTATTACTGTAGACAGATCCCACCCAATCAAATTTAAATAACCTCTTACTGATTGGTTCTATGCTTTCCTTCAGGACAAATAAGCTCAAAATTCTTAAATACCAACATGTGAGTTATTAATATTGAGGTTTGACAAGATATTAACAGAGATTAACATGCTGTATCTATAACAACTTAAACTAGATAGTTTGAGATATTTGGAATTTTTGTCACTGCCTTGATCCCTTAATTAACTAGGGAGATATTTATTACATTTTTTATGTTCAACAATATATTATGTTCAAATTTCAAGACATTCAGATTTAGTTTTAAGGTATTAATACTGGTTTAAAAAAATTGAAATTTATAATTAGTCTAGAAAATGACCTGCATAAGAAACTGGGTAAACTAATGAGTTTAATAGGATATTTAATAAGCAGAGAAATGTAGCCAGTTGGGTTTTTAATAAGCCCCATGTATAACTAGTTCTGAGGTCCTATAGATCAGACTTGAAATCCAGTCCTGACATGGGTCAGTGACTCAGTGGTCTTTCAGATACCCCCTCAGGGCCAGCTATGGCAGGCCAGGCTTTCCAAACAGTTGATTAAAATAGGGAGGTCATCAGATTTAGGACAAGGTCAGTATGAACTCGCCAGAGCAAAGGAAAAAGATCCAGCAGGAATTAAGCTATTATCACCTCCATCACCCATGTGAAATGTTGTTTGACTGTGAGTTGTACATCCTTTGTTTACAAGCACAGTAATTAACTAAGCATGGTAGAAATGAGCTTGCCCTCCAAATTCCTGACAACCACTTGGTCATTGGACTTGAAAAACATTTAAACTAAGCAATTTTTAAAAAGTAAGAACCCTGTTAAAATTTCACCATAAATGAAAAGATAAAATAGCCACCCCAAATTTTAAGATTCTCATCTCCAAAAATGATACATGCAAGTCTAATTGACAAAAGGAGGAGAGACATATCAGTGTTATTTTATACAGCAAAAAGCTATAGTCAATTTGAGCTAATGTTTGTTGCATGAGTCAGGTACTAAAATAAATTCTTAATAAAATGTATTATATTTAATCTTCATAGTAACTATACAAAGTAATGTAGGATCTTCATTTTAAAAATGAATTAAGGGTCAAAGAGGTAAGTAATTTTGCTAAAACTTACACAGCTGTTTTATGATATATTTTAAACTTAGATCAAGAGTTATCTATCTGTAAAGCCTGTGTCTTTAATCAGTAAATGACATGGGTTCTACAATACTTATACAGTATCCACAACGCTAATCATTTAAAATATGTGTATGACATATATTCTAAATTATTTTTAAAAGCAAACATAAATTTTTCATTCTTTTATGATACACAGATGTTCTCCTGAAAAAAACAAAGATATAGTGCATACATGTAAAATGTATATATACTACAAATATAGCACTTATTATTTAATAAAATTAATCAAACCAGGAAGAAATTTTAAAATATGCTATAATTATTTATGCAAATATGAAGGAAAGCCACTTTATAACTATCTATTAACTAGTGGCCCAGTGCATGAAATTCATGCACATTATAAGGAAACTAATTAGAAGAAATATTTTAATATTGCTATATTGCCCTTTGGCTATAATAGCAGTGTCAGAGATGAAAGAAAATTAGTAAAATATATATGAAAATCTCCCTCCTGTCAGAGTCTGGGGCACATCGTGGGACCTAGAGTCAAGTCCTGCCCACCACCCACATGTGCTTCAAAAACACAGGAGACCCAGACCCAGCCAACCCCACCTCCAAGGCCTTCCAGGCAGGGGCCGCAACCTCAGGTCCCCAGTCAAGCTCTGCCAGGTGGGGGGTGCGGCTTCGGGTCCCCTGGCCCGGTGCTGGGGTTGGGGCACAGCCTGAGTCCCCTGTCAAGCCCCACAGGGTGGGGGCACTCGGCCTGAGGTCCCTCGCCCAGGCCAGGTACCATGCAGCCTCAGGTCCCTGCTGTTTGGTCCTGACCTTACTGCATTCTGGCTAATTTGCATATTCCTCTATTATATCTATACTAATAAAAGAGAAACATGCAAATTGACTGTACTTTTGCTATGCCCACCAGCCAATCAGGAGTGAGTATGCAAATCAACCCAACAAAGATGGTGATGGCCCTGGTCCCCAGAGGCTCTGGGCCTCTGGGCAGCACACATGCAGGCTCAGTGTGGCCAGGCAGGGCGGGACACCTGCTCTGAGGGGGAGGGCAGAGGCAGAGGGAGCTGTAGGAGTGCCGTTCCACCAGGAGCAAAGACTAAAGGTAGTGGCCAGAGTGAAGGCCTGAGTCCCAGGTGCCAGAGGAAAACCAGTGCCAACAGTCAGGGGTAGGAAGACCTGTTGCATGAATCTCTTCATTTTATGAATCTCTTCATGCAACAGGCCCTTATTAGACAGATAATTTGCTGAAGTATGCATTCAATATATTCCAACTTAGACAAACTTACCAAAATGTCTTATTTTTAATTCCCTATTATAATATGAAAGATGACTATGTCTACCTTGTATATTAAAAAACAAAAGCAGTTATTTTGGTACTTAATTCTTCCCATTTCAATAATATCCACTCACCCATCCCCACCCCCAAACACTAACAAATGGAGGTTGTGCTTCTTCGCATACTAAATATAAGTTTACTTAACTAGAAATTAAATGGAGAAAATATAGACATAAAACACATTAGAAAATTTTCACAGATGATATGAAGAAAGCACTTTTAAGCCTTAATGAACCATATTAAATTTTCAGTTATATAATTTCTAACATGGAAGGAGGGAATAGAAAATCATCAATTTCCATAATTACCACAGATTTTATTTGAGGTTTCCTACTAAAGATATCCTATTCATTTTGTAAAAGATATTTCAAAATTAAAATTTTAAATCTTAATAATTAAAATTAAAAAACATTTCACTTGAAATTTATTATTTGTTCTGGCCTCTTAATTTTGACCTCTGACCCCTATATCCATCCATTTCAATAGGGAAATCAGGGATTTCCAGAACTTCTGCATGGTCCAGAGCAGAGTCTCCTGAAGACACCCTCTTTTTCTCTTTTATGAAATTCTAAACAAGCAGATTATGTAAGTTGTCCAGGACAAGTAGTGTCAAAGTTAGTGTTTTTAAAAAGAAGCCAAAGAAGAAAGAGAAGATATCCCTAAGATTAGGGAAGCAAATCTGTAATCAGCTTTCTTTCAGCCTGAGGGAGAGGAGAAGGATGGAGTTAGGCTGGATCCCAGGGGATGGAGAGCTGTGATGGGGGTCACTAATTGCTCATTTGGAGTTTCCATATGAACTAGAAAAAGGCAAGCCTTCTGGTAAAAAGGCAGCCCCATGGGAACTCAGGTTGGTAAGTAGAGAACTGGATTTCTGTTCTTCTTCCCTTCAGTCAAGAACCCTTGCATGGAAAGCAAACTGTTGAACTGTACACGGTGACCATATGAGTGTATACATAGGGATTCCTTGGTTCCAGGATTTTTGGCATCAGCAAATATTGATTAATCCGAGCTTGGTATAACAGCAGAGCTGTATGCTTAAAAAAAAAAAAAAAAACCAAAAAAAAAACCAAACCATGCCTTAGCACATGTGTCAAACACAAGGCCCGCGGGCCAAATCCGTCCCGCCAGGCCTTGCAATGTGGCCCACACCGCGCTGTCATCACTGCACTCCGCTGCGTTTCCATCACAATGACAGTTTATGACTGTTCAGTAAACCATTCGGCCCGCGATTTAGGCTGGATTTTAGATTTTGGCCCCTTCTCTGATTGAGTTCGATACCCCTACCTTAGAGAGTGAGAATATGACAGAAGGGAATTAAGATGTGAAGGCCAACGCCTGGATCTCATTTAAGTCTTGGGAAAAGGAGGCTTCTGCCCTACCCCTTTAATGACTGTGGAATGAATGTATATATAGATACTTTGAAAAATATTTGAATTCAAATTGGAACATGTCTTGTTTACCTGAACTTGTGGTTGTGAATTTATATATATTTCAATGATAAAAAGCTACCAATGTATTCAATGATAATTATTTCTAGAAAACAAAATGGTAAGAAGAATTAAGTATGGGCAGAAATGCAAATAGAATATGTTGCTTTTGATTGAAAAATAAAACTTTTAAGAAGTTCCTATTAAAATATTTTTTTAAGCCTTGGGTAGATGTAAAATATCATTATCACACACACACACACACACACACACACACAAAAAAAAAAACCAAAAACACAAACAAACAAACAAACAAAAAAAACCACACACACACACATTTATTTTGTTTTTACTCTTTGCAGACAACTATGGTAGGGTCTGGGATGTGGACCTGTTAGGGCCTTCTCTCTTACAGATCACATTTAAATTGCCAAGAAAGAGTGAAACATTATATTCATTAAGAGGAAATTAGTTATAGAATGAATAATACTCTAGAAATTCAAAAAAGAAAATGATGTCTAAAAGTTGGAATGGTCAGAGTAAGCCTTAGGCAAGGAACATAATACATTGTATTCCTCTAATCCAACACTCATCAAACTGTATTCTGTTTGCTTGTATCTCCCTCTAAATTGAAGGCTCCATGAAATTGAGGACTTTACATATTTCGTTGATCACTATACCTCCAAAGCCTAGACACTGAATCTAACACATTATCAAAATCAGTGAAAATCTGTTGACTGAATGACTGAAAAATGATATTTAAACTCAATGATAAATAATCAGAGGGGAAAAAATTACAACAGTTCTATCAAGGGGAATATTTTTTTTAAAAAAGGTATAGAGATTACAATATGCATATCATTGTGTCCAGTGATCAATTAAGAAGTATCTCAATGGTTTAGAGAAGACTACATAAACAAAGTG